CAAAATACTGATAACATACAACAACACAAGATATAATCAAATATTTCAAGAACACACCTTTTATTAAAACAATTGTGGAACTATAATCAATGATGAAGTTCTCTAGTTTATGATGTTATGAAAAAGAAATACAAGGTAGGTGAATTTTACACAATAACTTCATACTTCTTAAATTGTTTTTCACCGCAACACAACTCATATGTACCATAGCTAAAGTATGTACTTTGTTAAGGTGGCTTTCTTCACACTTTTCCTCTAAGTTAAAAAAATAAACATCATGACACTAACACCATTACATGGAACATTCACCAAATGAAAAAATAAGAAACCATTTTTAACAAGAAACATAAACGAAATTGGAGCATAAGTTTAATGAGCGAACCTGAAGGTAGCGATTGGTGAAGTCGGATCTGAAGGTTGCAGTACATGTGATGAGTGACATAGATGTTAGGGTTATGTTTTGAGAGAGAAAAGTGAAACGACTATTATATACTGACCGAGAGATACTTTCTCTTATATATTAAAAACTATCACTTTTCATCACGGTTGACAAGAATAACTGTGATGAGATGATTGGACTTTACATCATGGTTGACTAAAATAATTGTGGTGATATACCTTTTTGTGACGATAAAATGAGATATTTAAGGAGCTGAGATTCAAACCCTATAACTCATGGTACATTTCACTACGAATTTGAACATTCACCGTAGTGAAACATCTTTTAGTAAAAACAAAAAAAAACGCTCAAAAACGAGATTCCACCACGATTAACGAAAGATCGTTGTAATATTACTTGACGAAAGACATTTTTCGTAGTAGCGTGCCCGCCAGATCCATTGTCCCGTCTCCATCCACTCGCTTCACCAACTCCATCGCGAGTCTTACTGTGTGTTATGGTATCTTCGTCGACTTCCAGCCTGATTTCTAGTTTTTGTAATCTAAAAATATTTTTTTCTCTTTGTCACTTAATATTTTAAGACATACGTCAACATGTTTTCTTATCTAGGTGTGATCAGGTTCCTCAAAATGTTGTTTTTTCTTTCTTTCTTTAATTAGTTGTGATATATACATGAAGTACATTATATTGTCCAATTGTCAAATATTATTGAAGTTTGGCCGATTCAAAAACTTTCACAACCTTAATAGATCTTAATAGACTTAAAGACATATTTGACTACCTCATATTTGGATGTATTTGAATTCCTCTTTGATTGACTGAAGAATGTCGTTCGAGCCTTAATCGATTGAAGAACGTCATCTGATCCATAATTGACTTTTCTAAATTTTGAAGGACCATTTATTTATTTTCAGATACAAATAGTTTCGTGTTAAATGTTAATTTAATAAATAAAATTTATTTTAAAATGAATTTCATTTCTACTATTTAATGTATGTTTTTTTTTTCTTTCAATTGTATCCTTTCATTAGTAATGTATGTATACTATTTTAAAATATTATATTTCAAAATTAATTAATTTAATAAAAACATCATATATATTGATAGTTTTATGACATTTCTTAATTTGCGAAAAATATCTCCGAAGAAAAGATAAAACATTTAACTTTTCCAACATTTAAAAAAGAGAGTTAGAAACATAATCATTTTCTTTTTTATCACAGCATTTATTTATTTTTTGTTAAAGAAATCTATAATAAATAAGAGTATTTTGGTGAGAAAATATTAAGTGCAATGCAAAATTTGGAAGGATCTTATAAAAAGTGAAAGAGAAAGATTCACATGTTAAATATGGATCTCATACATAAAATTATTTCGAGGCTTGATTTGGGGAATTAAGAGGTAAGCTCAAATATTTATCAAAATAACAATAATGTCCATATTTAACATTTTTATGAGTAAAATATATATAATTGATTGTGTAGTCGTAGGTGTGGCCTCATCTCCTAGGCTTGAGGTTAGGACACCTATGATGCCTCAGGTTTCGTTTGGGATTAAGGTTGTAATGCATCAGGTATCAACTGTGTGGCTTCAGGTATTGGCTGAGAGTGTGATGTCTCTCTAGTCTGAAATACTATAGGTGAAGTAGTACGTTTACGTAAAGATGGAGGCGGGGAGGCATGAGCGAGAGAATCTCGCCTGTTGCGGGAGGATAAAGAAGAAGGCGGAGAAACGTGAACACTGAAACCTGTGATCGCCTCTGCCACAATCTTTTCAGAGGTAGAAGGAGCCTAGGATGTTTGACTCCTTTCCCTCTAAACCGAAGCATGTTATGCAAGTTTGTCGTGTCTCAACCTAGATGCTCTTTCAGTCATAACTCCTGTAGAAGTACGAAACAAACGTTATCCAATGACTCATGTTCAAAAAAAGGAAAAAAAATACAGACAAACTAATACCAGAGATACATCTCTGATTTTTTATGTAAACGTTGAAATTTTTTGAAAATGTATCTCCGGTACTATTTGTAACTTTCTGCTTCGTCAATGGTGAAGTTCAGACTACTAAGACCACAAAAAAAGTTCATTGATCGAAAAAAACAACCTTACTAAGACGTTTAATCATACTTCTAAGCTTGCAAACACTAAAAATATTTCAATTATCTAACCTAAAACTCAATTTCTAAATGCATTTACATTAGCTCAAAAACACTTTCAATTTCACTTTAAAATCTGATTCTTGTTGGTCGATGAAGCTTCAACACTGATATTAGATGATGCTTAATTGTTGTTTGTTGATTTTTGATGAGTTTTCGAAGTTTTGTTTCAAAGTGTTTCTGAAAGTGAGGAAGGGGAAGAGGCGAGCGTTCGAATTTGTGTCAATATATTCCAGAAATACAACTACATGTCCCTCACGTAAGTGCAACTCCGAAATATTTCTGCGTGACATCTGAACTTTCTTAGACTAACCTATGATCTACAGTTAGAGTGCTTCCGGAGATACAACTACCGATCTCTCCCATAAATGCATCTCCAATTAATTCTCCACTCTTATATAGAATCTTGTTTATCAATAGTCTGACTAAGAATGTTTTCGGAGATACATTTTCAGAAGCGGATGACATTTTTCGTATTTTCGCGCGGTGCGCTAGAAAGATATGGGATGTGTTAAGAAATTTCCAAAGTTTTTTTACTTTGGTGTTGTAAAAAAGTAAAACTTAACTTCAAGTTCACATAAATAAATAAACTATACTTAAATTTTTTAGATGTAAATTTCATCTATTTAACAAAATGAGGGAGTGTATAAGAAATATCCTATTAACTTTTTTGCCACAACAAATAATTCCCATAAACATTCATTCACAGCCTACTCACTATAGCGCCGAACATCATTTTCATTAGCATGATCCTATTTTCTGTACCATCATGTTAAGAGTTTACTGGGCCACAATCAAGAAAACATGTTTCTTCATCGTTTGACCAGTGTTCATGGAACGCCAACAATGCAAGAGCTGTTATTCTTTTATGTCTTCACCTTGATTGATTGAAAACATAAAAAGGGTATTTCATTTCTTTTTTGGTGAAAGAATGAAGCAGTGTTTTTTTATGTCTATGTCTATACTCTATCGTATATGTACCATGGTTAAGTTTCATTGACTCAACTAAACAAGTTCAAAATTAACTAAGACACTAAAAACACTTGATATCTAAATCCATAGGTCCCACATTCCCACATTCCAATTCCTTGTTTAAGCAAAATGCAAATAAATGGTTGAGGTTTAGGATTTTTCAAACTTTACTTTAAACGCAAGTAACAGATAAAGAATCAACATTCCTTAATAAATAAACAAACAATGCTTCCCACGGCTGAACCTTCAGCAAAGTTATTCCTATGATAACAACCCATTAATTAAAAATCAACATAACATGACTTGCAAGAAAGAAATAAACTCAATGGAACAACTTGACCTGTCACAAACTCCTAAAATTTGTACATTAGTTAATCAAAACTAAATCGTTGATAACTTGTGATTTGTGGATTAAACTACAAAAAGAAAACAAAGACTGATTGACTTTTTCTTGCTTTGGCAGGAACACAGATATTTTCCTGGAAAAAAACTGGAATAAATTTATCTACTAGGCCCGGAGAAATATAAGCTATATATGCCAATCAAAAGCCCGAATATCTCAATGGAAGTAAAGATCAATTGAAGTTGGGTCAATGGAAGTAAAGATCAATTGAAGTTGGTCAACTCATACAACTATGGTGTGGTATACCTGCATAAGAGAACCTTTTAGTCAATGGATGACAGTATTGGCCGGCCGCCGGCAAGTTCAAAAACTTGCACTCCAAGAATAAAAAACAAAACATATTTTGCTGAAGAATATAATAATTCAGATTGACTTTACAGATCAGAAACCAAACTTTTAAAATCATTACAGACCAGACCACAAAATATTGATGGTTAGCAGGATGAGACACATGAAATTTTAGTGGTCAATCAAAAGAAATGAATTTTGTTCTATAACATTTTTGTTTTACTTTGATAAGTAAAAAATTGCTATGAAGTTCAAGTCTACAGAACTTGGCACAAGGAAGATGTGACAGAGTATCATTGATAACATAAGGGATTGATTTGTATTCGGTATCTCATAACCACATTTATCTGTTACTTCTTCTCAGAGTGTCATACATTCAATTGACAAGAGATTACAAAATCATGATCAGCCTACGAGTAAATCACACAATAGATATGAAGTTTTTTTTTGGTGAATACAACAAATATGAAGTGAGAAAAGGAAAACAGTTCTAAGCACCCTGTCATACTATTAAACCAATGTTCCCTCTGGTTATTTCCAACAAAATCAGAGGTGTTAATAAACAATGTTTTCTTCATCCAAGCAAAAGCATCGAAACAATGAGAAATCGGGTCTAACTCACAAGTTTCACACAATCGTTTGCAGGGAAACTACTGGGGTCTGAAAGAAGATTTAAATACTGATAATAGTAGAGCAATCAGATAGAGATGATCATGAGAAGGTGAAAAGATGACAAACCAATTATATAGTGCAGCCATTTACCCTGCCGTGGAAAAATATCGTCTTCAGCTCTGCTCAATTGATGCAGATGTAATTCGTAATTGTCTTGTCCTGTCTTGCTCTCCGTTCCTCTTCCAGAAAGCCCTTCTCCACCAAACTTCAAACCCTCTTTGAATATTTGGGCAATCTTCACCAGAATTCAGGAAACGATTAAACCAAGCCAATAAAATTTCTTGTTGCCATGAGAGTGGTAGAGTGAGAATTGTGTTACTAAGACCGTCCTCGATTAGATGCCTATCAAGGCCCTTGGATGCTCTCCTCATCCAACCAAAATCATCATAAAAGGGCACAAGCCATGTTTTTAGAAGTAAACACCTAGCTTCTTTGGAAGCCAACAATTGTCCCTTTCCAATCCCAACAAACAACCTGGCAGTAACTCTGCTAACCTCAAACCTGTGAACTGCAGGCACCTTAGAATGAGCTTCCGATAATTCTAATTGAGACGCCCATGTTTTCAGGAAATCCTCGGCAATCTGTCTATCAATCAAAATATCCAAAATCCAATGCAAATTATCCGCTTGACGTGCAATTTGACTCACATCCTGCAGGTCTGAAGCCGCAGCCCGCAAAAAATGGTGAAGAAGTAACTGCAGACAATCATCACATGCCGAGTATAATGACTCCTTCCGAAGATCATTCTGAGAAGCATTTTCATGGAGCATCTTCGACACCAACCCTTTCATCTCTCGCCTGGCCTTCTCATCTTTTCCTTCAAGAACCACACGAATAAGTTTAAGCAGGACTTCTTCATTATCATTCCCCTCTTCATTTCCATTGGCAACTTCAGTTGAAACCCTCTTCAAAACCTCCCCAGCTCCAACAGCTTCAAGACGAAGTTCCGACAGAAGCGACGCCACCTTGTCTTCTTCATCCTCCGCCCACGGAGCTGCTTCCAAGTACTCCAAACAAGACAAAACCCCAGCATCAAATCCAATTGCAGCCGAAACCTAAGATGAAAAAAGAAGAAAAAAAAAACCACTTGTTCACTCTCATAAAACCATGAATCATACAAATCAAAACTAAAAATAAGAAATTGCTTTGACCTACACAGACACTAGATACAAACACTCACACGCCGACAGCAGTAATAGTTTGAGAAATAGAATAATTGAATGCAACTATGCCTCGGTGTCCGAAACACGCTTTTAATGAAGTGTCGGGTAACATACGCTGTGACTGTTACACATTTGGTAAGTAATATAACCTGGCAGCAGAATTATCCTATCCTATAACTATATTATATCCACAAACAGTTGAAATCCTAAATTCAAACTTGCTATAGTCCTAACCTAATCCCAAACTTCACACTATAATCCAACAAATAAAACAAAGCAAAGCACAAGTCTAATTCTCTGAATCTAATCCAACAGTATACATCATGAAACAAATTCAACAGATCAAACAAAGCCCACAAGAAAAAGCATTCACCTTTAAGATACCCAAAACCTTAGAAACATCCTCTTTCATAAGCATCTTCCTAAGATCCTTACAATACATCAACCTCAAAGTCTCAACATAAACCTCAACATCATCACAATCCGCAATCTCAACCAAATACGGCAACCCCGAACGCTGCTGCTGCTGCTGCGTCCACCGATCAGAAAGCTTGACAGAGAAAAACCTACTATGCGCAACAAGAATCTGACGATGCACGTTCATCGAAAAACTGAAGCCGTCTTTGGAAGTAAGCGTAAGCTTAATATCACTGGAAGATGAATCGTTGAAGTGGTTCCCAGGGCTCCGGGAAGCTAACAAATCGGAAATTCGCTGCATCATAAGGGTTTCGCGATCTTGGATTACAATTTGGGGTTTCTGAAGAGACGAAGATGGGATCTGGTTTGTTGTTGTTCTGTGATGAATATCGGGTTCGTTGACCATCATTTCGAAGAGAGTTGGAGATGAGCGGGTTTTGTCGGGCGGCGGCGACATTGGGTTGAGGAGGCCGGCGGTGAGGGCGGAGTTGAATTTGGTGAAGCTTGATGGGAACGGGTCCTGACCCGAGTGACCGTTTGAGATTGGGGAAGAGGAGTGTGTGAAATCCATGATTGGGGAGAAACGAACGGTGTAAGAAGAAGGTGAACCGGGTTGGGGTTCGGGTTCTGGTTCGGGTAATTGGGTTGGGTTGATGGGGGAAGATGAAGCGGAGGTTGAGATGGTGGTTTCGCGACACTTGCGACGTTTGGGTTTGGTGGAGGGTTGTTGGTTTTTATGGTTTATGGGTTTGAGGAAATTTGAGGTTGTTTTAGTTGTAGTTGTCGCTGCCATTAGCGGTTGTTGTCGTTTAGTGGTTCACGCAGGAACAGAGAAGAGAGAGAGTGTGTTTGTTTGTGTGTGAGTGAGGATGCTAGTATGCTACTATGAAGGATTATTATTAATAATGGCGGTAGAATCGAGATGTTTGATAAAGTAGAATAAACATGGAAACTGCCAAGTGTGGGTGAGAGAAGCATTAATTAAATAGGCCAAACATAAATTAATGCTTTTCTCTCTAACAAATCAAGGATATACTTGGAGTTTTTTTGGGTTTTTCTTCAGTAAAAGAAAATTAATGCATTTAATAATTGGTTTATTAGATTTACATGTAAGCTAAATATATCGAATTTGTTTATAATATAACTAGACATGTGTTACCAAATTCAGTTTCTTTAAATATCAATAGATCATCAATTCTTTTTTTTTTTTAATTAAAAAGTTTACCCAACAAAAATCTTTAATCTTATTCTCTCTCAATTGATTTTAGTTTTAAATGTCAAACTTTCTTAATTGTGTTTGTTGACATGAGTGTTTAGAATTTGTGGTTGGAAGATTGATGTGCTTATATAAGGTGAAATTGGTCAAAATAAATTTAAATATTTTAACTTAATTGGAGATAAAGATGAAAATTGTTATTTGTTGTATGCTTTGTTTGAAAGAATTAGTAAAAGACTTTCGCATGAGAAATAATCAAAATTAATTTAGGGTGGTCGATTTGTTAGTACATTTGATTTGTAAAATAATGAATATTTTATGGTCGATCTACAGATAAATAAGTGTATATCATCTCTTATTTGATATATTTATGAATTAGACAAAATAAATATATATTTTTACTATGATACGAATAAAGATGTGAGAGAGAGAGGGTTGTGATCGTCAAGAGATGATAGAGTTTAGAGAAATGAAAGATTAGATAGAAAAATATGTGTGTGGCTATGAAAAATGTGTGTGAAATATGCAGAGAGAATAAGAGAAATATAATTATTTAGAAATATATGAGAAAAATTAGATAGAAAGAATATGAGAGAGAAATGGGAAAATAGATCGAGTAGATAGGCATGAGAAAGTGGGAATATTAAATTGTATATAGATATAGGAGGAAGAGAGAAGGAAGATAAAGAGAAAGATAATTGTATATAGATATAAGAGGATGAGAGAAGGAAGATAAAGAGAAAGATAAGTGAGTAAGTGAAAGAGAGATGACACTACTAAAAAAAAAGACATTTGAGAAAAAGTTTTTACATCGGGTATCAAAATATGTGATGTAAAAAATACAGTTAACAAAATTTTTACATCAGGTATTTATTTACAATGATATAAAAAATAAGGAAAAAAAAATTTTTCGTCACCTATTACATCGGGCAATCTCATCCACCAATGTAAAAGATTTCCAAAAAAAAAAACACGGTGACATTTTTGTAAATAAGAAACAAAGTGTCTAAAACGTAAAAAAAATATAAGCAAGCTATTACAGCGGTTGGAATTTCCACCGATGTAATAAACTCGCTTGATTTAATATATAAAATATATTAAAAAAATGATAAAAAGGCTACGCGTGTCAACATATTACATCGGTTGGACTTTCCACCGATGTAATAAACTCGCTTGATTTAATATATAAAATATATTAAAAAATGAAAAAAAGGCTACGCGTGTCAACATATTACATCGGTTGGACTTTCCACTGATGTAATAAACTCGCTTGATTTAATATATAAAATATATTAAAAAATGAAAAAAAGCAAACGTGTGTTAAGATATTACATCGGTTTCAGTTTCCACCGATGTAAAAGCAAACGTGTGTTAAGATATTACATCGATTTCAGTTTCCACCGATGTAAAAGCAAATGATGGAATTAAGTTTTAAAATAATATACAAAAAGGGTGTATCGGTTGGACTTTCCACCGATGTAAAAGCCCAACGCTTGTATCGGTTGGAAAGTCCACCGATGTAAAAAATAATAAAAACAAAATTCATATCTTGAACACTGTACAGTCTCCTCCATTTTTACTACCCATTTTTTCCGACCCATTTTCTCCGCGACTTCATTTTCGCCGCGACGCCCACCACTGCCATTTTCTCCGCGCCATTTCACCGTCTCTCCTCCGACCCACCGTCGTCTCTCCAACACCGTCAACGACCGACCCATTTCGTCGTCTCTCCTCCGACGCCCACCGCTGCCCACCGTGACACCGTCTCTCCTCCGACCCACCGTCGTCTCTCCAACACCGTCAACGACCGACCCATTTCATCGTCTCTCCTCCGACGCCCACCGCTGCCCACCGCGACGCCCACCGTCAACGACTCACCTTCACGACTCTTCGCTCGCCGTTTCAACTGTAAGTGCAAATTTTTGTTTAAAAATGAGTTATTAGCATTATTCCTCTTTGAGTTTCAACTGTAAGAGAGAAATTTTTGTTGATTGTTCTGATCGAAAAAACTCTAAGTACTATGTTGTTGTTGTTCTGGTTATGTTTTTTATTTTGTTAATCTGTTTTGTTGGATTTTTCGTGGGTTAGTAAGGGTTTTAATGCGATTTGTTTTTATTTGCAGTATAGTGCTCGGTTCAATGCTGAAGCTGTGAGGAACTTTTTATACTCTCTCAACAATGGAACTATAGCCAAAAAGAAATTCAACTGTATGTATGCAATTTTGTTTTACTCACAATGTAAATATATCGTAGCTATACAAGTTTTTGTGTCAAATTGTTTGGCATTTGCATTGTTTGGCCTTGTTTCTTACTGACTCTCCATGGCAATTGTCTTACTTTTGCATGTTGCTATAACAATTTCAATTTCCATTAATTTGCATTGTGAGTCCAACAGCTAAATATAAAGGAAGACTTGGAAAAACTATAGTGACAACTTACAATCTCGGAATCTCGGAATCTCCGTTTCACGACTCCTCGCCGGCCGATTCACGCCTTTCACGACTCTTCGCTCACCGTTTCAACTGTAAGTGCAAATTTTTGTTTGAAAATGAGTGATTAGCATTATTCCTCTTTGAGTTTATATTTAAAGTATGTTAGATTGTAAGAAGAGATTGAAAAGAGAGAAATAGTGGAAGGGAGTATCTAAATTTTTATAAATAATTAATATTCTAATTATGTTACCAAATAGTTGTTCAACGATATTTGATTTAAAACCAATATTTTGCCAAATTTTGCTTATCAATTCGTTGTTACAGTCTCATTACTATTACTATACTATTATAAATTACACTTTGTTACTCGTGTGTTTTATACTTTGTTCCATTCTTGTTACTATTATTATACTATTATATTTGAATCCCTTTCTCCTATTTTTATGCTCACCAAATAAAAGAAGTGGAAAATTTAGAAACCTATGACAAAAGAATTAATGGTCCTCTCAGAAACACATTGTTTATCTTTAACCTATCAAACTTAATAGAGTTATCACCTTGCCATTGAAATTTGATTCTATTTTTCTTTCTCCGCGAAGCAGCACAACTTGCAATCTCAGAATCTCCGTGAAGTAGCGCAGCCGCGGACACACTGTTTGTCAGACCTTCCTCCGTGTGAACATAGTTATGGATCGTAGTTGGATGAGAGCTAATCGATTAAGTGACGAGTACGAACATGGAGTGATGGAATTTCTACAGTTTGCTGAAAGTAATGCTGACAAAAGTCTTCCTACGCTTTTTCTCTGTCCATGTATTCGTTGTGCAAATAAAGAACCAAAACGTAGTAAGAAAGAAATCATGGATCATCTAATTTATGTAGGGATTTGTCAAAGTTATACAAAATGGATATGGCACGGTGAAGTAGTAGCAAAGTCTAACGTGTCTCAAAGAGATGATGTTAGTGTAGAAATGGATGATCGTCTAGAAGACATGATGCGTGATATTGGACAAGATTCGTTTAAGAGGCACATACGTATGATACTATATGCAATGACAAGGATAAATCATTGTACCCGGGATGCAAAAAATTTACACGTCTGTCAGCCGTGTTAAAATTATTTAATCTGAAGGCAAAGAATGGGTGGACTGACAAAAGTTTTACCGAGTTACTTGAATTGTTGACCGAAATGCTTCCAGAAGGTAATGTAATGTCAAGTCGTTATTACGAGGCGAAGAAAATATTGTGTCCAATGGGTTTGGAGTATGAAAAGATACATGCATGCCCTAATGATTGCATATTATACAGAAAAGAGTATGAAAAGTATAATCATTGTCCAAAGTGTAAGGCTTCACGCTACAAAAAGAAAGATGGTGAGTCAATTGATGATGAGGTGGTAAAAAAGGGTCCTCCTGTGAAAGTGGTATGGTACCTACCAATAATTTCAAGGTTCAAGAGATTATTCGCCAATGCAGATGACGCAAAGAATCTTAGATGGCATGCAGAAGAAAGAAAATATGATGGACAAATTCGTCATGTAGCTGATTCTTTGCAATGGAAGAAAATAGATTCTTTGTTTCCAAATTTTGGCAAAGAGTCGAGAAACCTTAGACTTGGACTTGCTACTGATGGAATGAATCCGTTCGATAATCTGAGTACTAACCATAGTTCTTGGCCTGTTCTCTTGATGATTTACAACCTATCTCCTAGGCTGTGCATGAAGCGTAAATATATTATGTTATCGATGATGATATCGGGCCCGAAACAACCAGGAAATGACATAGACGTTTATCTAAGTCCACTGATTGATGATTTAAGAGTGCTGTGGGAGGAAGGGGTGGATGTTTTTGATGCGTATTCTGGCGAACAGTTCAATATGCGTGCCATGTTGTTTTGCACCATCAATGATTTTCCGGCATATGGTAATTTGTCTGGGTATAAAGTTAAAGGGCATAATGCGTGTCCTATATGTGAAAAAGACACTTGTTACCATCAGCTTGAAAAAGGAAAGAAGACCGTTTATCTCGGGCATCAAAAATTTCTAAAACGTTATCATCCATATCGTAGATTGCGGAAAGCTTTCAATGAGGAACAAGAGCATGGTGTTGCTCCAAAGCCCTTGTCTGGAGAGGAAGTTTATCAGTGACA